AAACTACGACCCTGATCCCGCTGAGCCCTCCAGGAGGAGACCATACCCACTCGCTTTCAGATGGAGGCAAACTGGCCAGTGACCATGCGAGGAAGCTTAGTTCCGCCCCTGGACCGCCGGCTAGTGTGGCAGAGTCTTCTGGGAGTTGTAGTCACCGTCCCTGCCCCCTCTCAGGTCCCCCTGTCCTCCACCCGCCTGCCCCGCACCTCTCGTAACCAACCCTGCGCCCGCCCCCGCCCCGCCCCCGTCCCCCCGAGCCGGGGCCTTGGGAGTTGGAGGTTCTCACCCCGCCCAGAGCCGGCCCCGCCCATCAGTGCTCTGGCCCCGCCCCTTCCTGCGCCGGTACCGCGGAGCCCGCTGGGAATGTCGCTGCTCAGCTCGCAGCTTCACCCCTCGTGACAAGTGCGGCGGCGCCTGCTGGGAGAAGCCGCTCTGTCCCCGCCGCGCCTCCATACTGTGCCGCGATGCCTGCCGGGAGTTGTAGTTCTTTGCTGGCGCTGGGCTGGGGGCGCTGGGAAGGCCGTGACGAGTAGGCCTACCACCGTGTGTTACGCCTCGGACCACCGTTCTGGAAGCTGCACCAACCGAGGAGTTGGCAGAGTCCAAATCTGGGCATGGCGCGCCAGGTAAGAAGGGTTCTGCGATGCTGGACCCGCGGACAGGCAGATGGCTGTGCCGCTTGTAGCCTGTAGACCCAGGCCCACAGAAGATCCCAACCTTCCTCCTCTCTCCCCGCCTACATCCAGCCTCCCTCGGACAGCCTCTAACTCTCCGGATCCCTTTCTGAACTTGGGCTTCGTTCTCCCAGATCACTAGTTCCCCAGCTGAGGGTGGAGAGCAGAGGCAAAGGGTTGACTGAGTTCATTCCTGGCGACCCAGGGGCATCTGGGAGAACCTGGGACAGCAGGAGGGACCGGGCGATAGTAGGGGAGACCTTGAGGACAGTAGAGGGGACAGCACAAAGTGACTGGAGCCAGCAAGGGGGACAGAAGAGGGTGACTGAGACGGCAGGGATGACCCGAACAGTAGGGGTGGGCTGGGACAACAGAGGATGACCTGGGGCAGTAGTGGGGTCCTGACGAAAATAAGGGGGACCTGGGACAGCAGGGGTGACTGAGAACAGTAGGGGAGCTTGAATATGGGGTGTGTGTGGGGGGGGTACCAGGAATAGCAAGGAAATCTGGGACAGTAGATGGTTCCAGGAGACAGAGCCTGATAGACCAAGCGGGACTTTGAAAGGTGAGGGCCTCTGGACCCTGGAGTTTGATTTTCCTGCTGCAGCAGTGGGTTTCTACAACAGTGAGACTGCTGCAGAGCTGCAGAGATGTGAGGACTGGGAGGGGTTTCCTCTGCTCCCTCATGTTTTTCTTCTCCCCACATTTCTGGGCAGGGAGAGTGAGAGTGTCAGCCCTGACCATGGTCAGCTAAGCGACAGCTTGTGAACATTTTGTCCTGGAATGGTCATCTGGGTGCCCAGAGGCAGGGCTCTGCAACCATCTTAGCGTGCTTGAGGGAACCAGGCATGCTAGCTTGAGTTGAAGGCTCAAGTCCAAGGGCTATGGGGAGCCTGTGATGAGCAGGAAAAGTGGCTGCCCCTCAAGTGCTGATCTGCAGAGCTGCTGGCCGCAGTCACACTGGAAGCTCTGTGTCCCCACGTCGGTGACAGAATTCCCTCTGCCATCTTCACAGTACCCCTAGGAGGTAGGTAGTCAAGGGCTGCAGTGGGTTCAGTAGCTCAGCCATGGTCAGAAAGCTGACCTGAAAAACAAAGTGGGGCTCAGATCCTTCACTCAGCGACTGGAGCCAGGCTCTCCTCGCTCTAAGCATCCAGAACCTCCTAGCTGCAGAAGGGACAAGTCAATGAGGCAAGGTGTCAGGGATCCAGGGGTTCATCTGGAGATGGAAGACTTCCTGCAGGGTGGGCTCTGGTTCTGTTACAGACCTGCCCGTGGAATTACTGGGAGTCCTGATACAGGTTGCTAGCACAGATTTTCTGGGAGTGCATGAAACTTGGTAAAGATTTATGTCTCAGGAGGGATAGGAAACCAGCTTTCAGCAGCTTAGGATGCAATGCATTTTTTGCTCTTTTGGCCGATCTCCAGTAGCTCTCCATGGAAACTAAAGCTACCTTGCTGAAATTCTCCCACCTTACACTGAGAAACCTCTGCTGTGGGATATTCTGTGCACTCAGGACATCCAGGATCAGGTTCTTAAGGGCTGCTACACTTTTTATTTTTATTAAAGGGTTACTAGGAATGGCTGGCTGTGTTTGTTGCAGATAAACCTGCAATCCTCCCTACAAACTTGACTTTGTGGAAGTACTGTAAAAAGAGCGAGGAAAGCATGGAGACGGCAGTACCTGATATTTACCAACTACACAGGGGACTGTTCCCATCAAGAACATCTACAGCACAAAACCAATTCCCATGAGGTCAGACATGCTCCCCCCCCCATTGTTGTTGTTGTTGTTGTTTACTGTAGAGTCAGAACCAACCCATAGCTGACCTTCTGGTGGGTTTTCAGAGGCAGTTAATCGCATGGGTGGAGATTGCCCACCCTTCTCCTGTGGAGCAACAGCTTTTTGCCACTAGGCCATCAGAGCTCCTTCTGCTAATTCCAGCACTTATCCTATTGTTCTGCTGGGTCCACAGTCTGTTACAGTAGCTACATAGTCCTTACAGAACTATACTTATGCTTATGGGATTTAGTAGAGAAGTTAACAACTTAGAGCTCAGGTTGGCAACAGTATACAATTTCTCAGTTGGGGTTGCTTCTGAAGTGTGTCTCAGCCTTCAGCCTTGCAGCTTTAGGCCAGTGTTGTTATAAAGCTCTCTTAGGGCTGCCAGTTACAGCATTTTCAGCCCCTCCCCCCCACCTCTCCATAACTCCTCATCCCAGTGTCCCAGCAAGCTTGGGTAAAGGCCCCTGGCTTTGGCTCCATGAGGAGCCAGGTCAGCTGTGTCACACATCAGGTGTCTGGTTTGCTGCTGCTGCTTCCACTGCTGCCCTCAGGTTGGCCCTGGTCTGATAGGTACAGGAATCTGTCACCAAAGGACACATGCTGCATTCTCTGCTGCACTTTTCTTGGGGTAGTGATTCTCATTTTTTTTTTTGCCACAAATTTGTTCATTTTCAATCTGTCAGAATGGCCAAATTGGCCATTCCTCTGTTGGATAGACTAACATACTCTGTTGACCAGGCCATGTGGCAAAGTCGAAGGTAATGTGGCTAGGAAAGCCATTTTGAGCAGTAGACCCACTACAACATAGAAATTCTAATTTAAAAGCAAATATTAGTAGCTCACTTCCAGTTACAGTCATGGAGTGAGATAGCCCAACCTTCACTCAGGGGCTCAAATCCTGATGTGCTCCCAGGATGGATGGGACCCCATAGAGATAGTGTTTGCTTGAATGCAGGGTTTCCTGAACCAGCCCAGAAAGACAGCTTTCTCCTAAAAGTGGCCACCTGAATCAGATTTCTAGCTTCTGGATCTAGAAGAGAATCAATTTCTACTTGTGGTTATCTTGGTTATAGCAGCACTGACAACCATTGACCTCTTTCCCCATGAAATAATTTTAAATCTTCAATATAAATTATAACACAAAACTTACAGAGCTGGAGCATTAAAAAACCTCTGTTGTAAACCAAGGACATAGAAAAGATGTGAACGCTAGGACTGAGGAAAAACAGACCGTGAAGCAGGGGACAAACAGCTCGAAGCCTAAGAAGACTTAAGTCCCAAACCCAGCTTGCTTGTAACTAATGAAAATCACAAAGAGAATTCTGTGCAAATGAAGCTAAGTGCTTTTCTATTGACATATTTATGCTTGACATAGGAGGGAGGGGTTAGCAAATCCAAGAATTGTGAAGATGCCTTAGGTCTGCCTTGTCACTTGACTCCTGTGACCTGTCTCAGGAGGAATTCTAGTTTGTATTTGCACCTTCCTCAAGTCCTGATAATTTGATTTATCATTTAGGTTAATATTTAGTTTGATATTTGGCTTCCCACAAACCAATAAATCTGCACCTTAATTTTCAAATACTGCTATACATATTAGTATTCATGGGAAATATTTTTATCAGTCTGATAAAATGAGAATGTTGTTGGTATGTACCATCAAATTGCCTGCAACTCACAGTGACCTTAAGTACAGTAGCTCTGAACCTTGTCCTATCCTGAGCCAGTCTCTTTCCAACACACCTACCTCATTTCCCCAGTTACTATGTCAGTCCTTATCATCCAGGGTCTTCTCCTGCACCGTCCCTCCACTCTTCTAGGCATGATGTCCTTCTCCAAGGACTGGTCCCTTCTGGCCACATTCCCAAAGTATGTGAGACGGAACTTCAAAATCCTTGCCTCCAAGGAGCAGCCTGGTTTTACCTTCTGCAGGATAAACCTGTTTGTTCTCTTGGCAAATGAGAATGTGTTGTTGTTGTTTAATGCCGTCGAGTCATAGACGACTCATAGCGACCCTATGAATGAACAGCCTGAGCACTGTTCGTACATAGAGTTTCCGGAGGCAAGCCATTTCGGAAGTGGATGCCGCTCCTGCTTCCAGGCTTGATTTAGTCGGGAAGCTCCAGCCAACACTGTCCACCATGGGTGCCCATTACCACGATTGGCACATCACTGTCACAGGCTTCAGCATAATGAGAATGTAAGAAAATAAAAATTAATGAATAAAAAAAAAAGCAGGCGTGGCAGCTTTTTATCTTGCAAATAAATAAAAAAGTCTCACTCTTCATATCAGTTTCATTTGTAAACTTGGTTTTTTTAATCTGTGGTATCAGGTCTCCAGGTCTGTACACACTCAAAGGAGCATTGCTTGGTGGTGGTGGTGAGTCTGCACTGGCAAATCTAGGATGGACTGAGGTTCCAGGCTGCTAGAGCTCAAGGCTGTCTCTCCTGTAGACCCCTATTGCTGCTCCCTGCTTCTTCCACTCCAGGTTCCCCTGTCAGTCCCTCGGTAGAGGAGGTGGACCCAGCCAACCATCTGTGCCCACAGGTGCATATAACCTTCAAGGATGTGGCCGTGCGGTTCTCCCAGGATGAGTGGCGTCTCCTGGAGGAGGGGCAGAGAGTGTTCTACCAAGACGTGATGCAGGAGAACTATGCAGTGCTGGCCTCCCTGGGTGAGGGCTTGGTTCTGAGGAGGGTGTCCTCTCTAAGTCCACACACACAGCATGACCCAAACCACAGGGGTTGCCAGGGAAACTGCATTTTAGGACCTTAGCGTGTTCTTCCACAGTGGATGCTGTTCAGAGGGCCCGTATAATATGTCCTACAAGTAATGTCTATACCCCACGCAATATGTACACAATGTGTTACCTGTACCCTGGTGATGTATGCATTACATAGAGTGTGTGTGACACACCATGGATGTCACATGTGTGATGAGTAATGTGAACACCACGTCCAACGTGTGCATCACATGTAGCATACATACCTCTGTAGTTCATGCATTACCTATCCTGTAGACACGTGTGTTACACATGAACCAGCACATCATGGGTGCTATGAGTAACATGACCACCACACCAACCTGTGTACTACATGCAACACACAGACCCTGTAGTGTGTGCATTACATAAAATGTGTGCACACGTGTGTGATATGTAAACAAGCACTTTGGCTATATTATGAGTAACATGAATACACCTCACCCAACATGTGCATTACCTGTAATACATACATCCCAGTAGTGTGTGTATTACATATGTATGCCATACGTGTGACATGTGAACCACTGTATCGTGTTACAAGTAACATGAACACCACACCAACATGTACGTTATATGCAGTGTAGTGCGTGCATTGCCTATAATGTGTGTATCACACGTGTGACATGTGAAACATCACAGCATGTGTCACGAGTGACATGAACACCACACCCAGTGTGTGTGTGCATTACACCCCTATGGTGTGTATCGTGTGAACACCACATGTGTGTAATGTGAGCTCCCACAGCACGTGTATTACGAGTACCATGTGCATCACATGTCATAGATATTAACCTGACAGTGCATCTGTTTTTTATTTGTAATGTGTGCACCACACGTGTGTGGCACATGCAGCATCTGCATGCATCCCTTGTGTTACAAGTAAATTGTATTGGATTCAGCTCACGCATCAAATAGTACATGTAAAATCTACATATCACATACAGAATGGGCAGCACATGTGTTTGATACATGTACCATTACACCACATGGTGGTGGTGTTGAGTACTGTCCAGTCAGAACCATCCCATAGCTGGCCATCCAGGTGGGTTTTCAGAGGCAGTAAATCGCACAGAAGATTGCCCATCCTTCTCCCACAGAGCAGCTGGTGGATTTGAAGTGTCTGCCTTCAGTGTTGCAGCACAGCTTCTTACCACTGGGCCACCAGAGCTCCCTTTGCACATACTTATTAATTACAGTGGGTGATGTGTAGTGTCCATGCCACCATATACAACTTATGTGACACGTGACAGGTAGTGTATGGGTTCCAAGTAGCAAGTGTGCCTCCTGTGTATGCCAAATGTAATATCTTACTGAATGTGCATGTGTGCGTGTCATGCGTGTCATGTCTAGTGTGTGTACCATATGTCAAATGGGCACCTTTGCACCTACATGTCTTAGGTGGGAGGGAGATGGAGACCAGCTTCCACCTTCAGGGTGACTTTCCCCTCATTCCCGGACCAGGGACAGCTGAACGCCTCCCACTCTCTGCTTTCCTGTCACCAACGGAGCCTGAGGGGACCATGAGAGGTGCGGACAGTCCTGATGAGGAGCCAGACCCTCATGGCCGAGGAGGCTCCTGGAGTAAGTTGTGTGGATGTCACGCCCTCCCACCTGGTCCTCAGCCCTCTGGCTCTTTGGCCCAGCCTTCCCACCTCACCCCAGCCCCTCCAGGTCCTCACTACGTGCCCTCCCCACTGGGAGTGTATAGTAGTGTCTGTTTGACTGAGAAATGCTAGAGGACAGCGGGGTGGCCTTGGAGCCACCTCCCTGTCACCAGGCAAAGCCCAGTTTCTTGCTGCCTGTACAGTCTCTGACCAGCAGCTCGTCATTAATGCTCATTCCCAGACCATCCCCAGATGAAGAGGGCCACAGGGGAGGCGTCCCTGCTCCCTACCTCCCAGCCCTTCCTTGGCCACTCTTGTGAGGTGCCTTGGTGAGGAGTTGCACAGGTGTGTGGCTCAGTGGTCAGCCTGCCTTTCTGCAGGAGGACCTCCAAGATGCAGCCTGCCTCTCTCTGCCCTGGTGCAGCTGGTGAAGGGGATCCCAGAATTCCTGTTCAGGGAGGTCCCTGAGAGCAGCGGGGACAGCTCAAGGGAGAGCCCAGCAGGTGAGTCACTGCCACAATTTCTACCCTGAGGACTCTGCTTTCTTGACATGAAGAGGTAGAAACAGGTAGAATGGAGTCCTTCATTTTCATGATGTTGGTCAGTAGAGAAGGTTGAGGGCTGGTGTGCTGTGCATCTGATCTCCAGAGTGTCTGATGCCCTCAGTGTCTCCACAGGCCTGACTTGTTGAGCCAATCTTGAGTCTGTCGAAGCCCAGGGGACTGGAGAGACCAATCTGTGACCAATCTTTTTTTTTTTTTAATTTTTTTAAACAGTTTTTTAATTGTAATTTTAACAAAAGTTTACAGAAGTTGGATTTCATTCATTCATTGTTGCACATTTTTATCCCCTAACCTTTCTTTTCCCCTCCCCCAGTTCCCTTTTTTGGGTTTTTGCCTGTTTGTTGTTTTTGTTTTTAATTAATTTTAATGAAAGTTTACAGAGACTTAGGGTTTCCAGTTGTTCATTGTTGCACTTTTTTCCTTGCCCACTCCCTTGCCCCCCCCCATTCATTCTTCTTGAAAAGAAAAAAAAAAAAGAAAGGAAAAAACTCTTTCATTGCTATGTAATCCCTCCCCCAAGTCCACTACGCAGCCTTCACTCTGGACTTCTGTAATGATGAGAATACCCATTCATAGATTCCCCCCCCTTTTTTTTAAATTTTTTTTCATATATCCCTTTTAAACAGTTCTTTCCCTCATCTGTCTCAGTGCAATATGCATCATTCCTCCTTTCCTTTTCTGTCTTCCCTCAACCCTGCTGTCAGTCCCGTTTTACAACGGTGGCTGTATGCAATATTTGTCCTTCTGTGACTGAGATATTTCAGCATAATGTCCTCCAGGGTCATCCATTTTGCATAATATTTCATGAGTTCCTTTTTTCCCCCCAATTTTGCATAGTATTCCATTGTGTGAATATACCAGAGCTTCTCTATCTATTTGTTTGTTGATGGCTGACCAATGTTTTTACCACTGGACTACAAAGAAGTAGGAGGGAGCTTTAGGGACCTTCCCTGAGGTGGGCCTAGGACAAACCCCCAGGAGCCACTTCCCATATTCAGGAATATTGGGAGCTGGAGAGGCCAGACTTCTCAGGGTCATTCTTTTCCTGCAGCAAAACCTGCTGGTACACCAGGCTGTACAGGGAAGGAAGGCCCAAGGGCCCTGGACAATGAGCCCCCCACTGTCCTCCGCAGCCCTGATACTGAGAAGAGCTGTTGGAGCCAGGACAGAGGAATTCTGGGGCCAGGTAAGAGCACCTTGTGGGCCTTGGCAGCTCAGGAGAGATAAATACTCAAGTCAGGAAAAAGGTTAAGGAGGATGTGGCTCTCCTCAGACCCCAGGAATGCATCCACAGGGAAAAGGGACTAGGAAATCCTCCAGAAGCCTCAAGCTTCTGCATCAAGCACCACCTGCTTCAGTGACAGCTCAGTAAGGGAGAATAACCACCAAATAAAACACTGACAAGCAGAATTCCATGCATGGAAACCTGGAAGTCTCTGAGTTAAACACAGTGAAAAGGGGGGCCTTGAGGAACACTTAGAGCCAAGTAGAAGGAGCTGGGAGATAGGCCTTTGGGGATGTAGCCAAAGGAGCAACCACATCCTAGTCACAACACTTAGAAATAAACCACGAGTTCACAGCTCAGGAGGCATTCGGCACAGTCAGTAAGCGCATCTGGGTTGGTTCACTGGTGGGGTTACAAGGGGCTGCCGCTTCAGCTCTCCCTGCAGGGGCTCACCCATCTAACACACCCACCTAACACTCCAAAGGCCCAAAGCAAGCCTAGATGGTATCAGTGTGGCTCGTGGTGTGTGGTCAGCAGATCTCTGTGTTCACTGGATCCCTGCGTACCTTAAACAGGAGGGTTCCCATGGACAAGTTCCATTCCACGTGTGGATTTGGCCGCCCCACATTTGGAATGGACACAGCAAGGAGCTCAGGTCGTAATCCCAGCAGCTGTGAGGAAGGAGGAGCGCTGAGAAGTGATGCTCTTGATGCTGGGGCATGTGTGTGCTGGCTGAGTCACTGTCCCCAGAATGCACCTACTTCGTCTCTGTTGCCCTGTAGGACTCTCTCCTGGGAGCAGTCCCTTGCAGGGTCTCATTGACTGCCTGAGAGAAATCCTTGTGCCAGGGTCCCAGCACCCTGAAGTTCCCCCAAGCAGACTGCGCTCCTACCCCACTCTGAGCAGCTGGAGGCTCCCTGGGCTGGAACTGGGGTCTGGACAGTCCCCCCAAGAAGGTGAGTCCAGTATATCTGTTCATGGGTGAGACTCTACTCCCCAGTGTGCTATGACCACAACCAGCTGCATCTGAGGCCTGCTGATTTCCTAAGGAGAATAAATGTCACTAGAAATGTCATCTAGAAAAAGCTATCAGAGAAGTGCACGTCTGGCTGTGCTGGGCTCTTTGTGCTCTGCTCTACCCAGTGTGGAGGCTCTGGACAGAAGGTGGTCTGTCGTGCAATGTTGATGTTAAGGCAGTGTGGTCTAGGAGGCCAGTCCAGCTCCCAGGCGGGATACCACCCAGCAGTGCAGACGCTGAGGGTCCACTGTGAACAAGAGTGCCACTTCCCACCTCCAGGGTCACTGTGAGGCTTAAGTGCAGTATGTTTGTGAAAGCTTTGATAGGGCATGCGCTCTGTCATACGGGCTTTTCAAGATCCCTGGGAGCTAGGAGAAGTAACTGGTGGGCCTTAGTATTTCCTGTTACATCTTTTTCCCTTGGAGTTTTAAGAGGCACCAGGAAGTTGTCTTTAGTCAGGCACAAACAGACAGTGGCTCATGTAGCGTTTCTATAGACAGAGCCAGGCCCTCACTGCTGAATGGACAGGCTTGGGAAGTGGGCACCATGTGACATTTTGTCCCTTTTCCTCAGTGAAGATGGAGGCTGCTCCTGAGACCTGTGTACTCCAGGGTCGGTTGGACCATCCAAAGGCTTTGGAAATCTGCCACAGCCACCCCAGTCTCCTAGGAGCAGGGCAGCTGGCACAGCGGGAAGAGCCATGGGCCCAGGAGCGGGATTCTGGAGGTAAAGTTTTCAGGGGTCACTTCTTATCAGAACTGAGCATGGACACAAAGCACCACACTGCGGCACATTGGTCACATGGGGCTGCCAGGCCTCTCTGCAGGACTTGGACCCTTGCAGCCCCTCCCTTCTGCTCTAGTCCTGGACATCTACCCACAGCAGGACTCAGGCCCCTCATCCTGAGAGTCCTTCACTCACTTCTGCTCCAGTCTGTGGTTAGTCTGAAGTCTACCCATAGTGACTGGTCTTACTGATAGGACCTCAGTCAGGGAACCAGTTCTATCCCTCCGGGACAATCCAACACCCCTTTCAAGCAGGGAGGCCACCTTTAGGCCTGTCTCCCTGTCTGCTACTGAGGGGCCCCTGACCTCTTTAGCATGCTCACTCCCAAACAGCGAGCACTCAGATGTGCTGTCTCCCACTCACCTCCTCAGGCCTACAAGTTCATCTCCCTCCAGCCCTCTGAAGCCGAGAGCAGAACTCCAGAGGAGGGAGGACTGGAGTACACCCAGAAGGCCTGGTAGAGCAGTCACCAGGGTTAGCTAGGCTCTGATGGGTCCCTCCTGTCCCAGCCAGCAGGGCCTCAAGCTCCCCACTGGAAGCACTGGAGGCCTGTCTGAAGGGCATTCCCCTGAATGGGTCATCAGCTCCCCAGCCTCCCACCACCTCATGGTCCTGGGGCCCTCAACAAAGAGCGCTGGGGTCTCCAAGGCCTGAGCTGAGGCCCCACGGAAGACACAGCACAGGTAGGCTCTGAATTCACATTACCATTGGTCTCTTGTGAACAATGGGCACATGTAGAGTATGCTGAAGTCTGCCCTGCCCCCCACCTAGGCCCCAGACATGCCCCACAGATGGTCCCACTTGGTTCTTCCTCCTTTAGCACCCAACTTGATTGATTCTTTTTTTAAAAAAAATTATTATTATTAATGTCAATGAAAATTTACAGAGACTTTGGGTTTCCTTTCATTCATTGTTGCACTTTTCTCCCCTCCCAACCCTCCCCCACAGTACATTACCCTCTTGGAAGAGTAAAAGAAAAATTCTTTCATTGTTTTATAGTCCCTCCACCCAGGTCCACTCCACTATTTAGCCTTCACTCGGACTCCTGTCATTACAAAAATACCTAATCACATATTCCTTTTAAAGTGTTTTCTCCCTCATCTGTTTCAATGCAGTATACATTATTGAACCCATCTTTCTCAGTCTCCCCCAAACCCCGATGTCACTCCTGTTTTACAACAGTGACACCATGCAGTATTTGTCCAACTTGCTTGATTCTTATGAAGTAAACTGGAGTTTCTCCATAGCCCAAACCTGAGAAGAAACATGGTGGGTAGTACTTGGGTTCAACCAGTGCTTGGAGTTTTCTGTGACACTGACTCTACCATTTTTCCACAGAGGTGATCATGGGGCCTCTTCTTCCTCTGGGCTTGCAGGGGCCTGTGAGAGACCACATTAATTGTCTCTCGGGCCTCCGTGGCAGCCCTGCCAGTTCCTCTTCACTTAGCAGCTCTGATGGGCACTTGGATTTCAGGATTCCTGAGGGGAGCCGAAGATGCCACCCTGGAAGAGGTATGCTAAGACTGGCTCAGGAGGATTCGTTGTGGGGAGAAGCTGGCCTTCACTCCTAGAGCAGACAGGAATTCTTCAGAACTCAGGTTGTTGGGGATGTCACCTAGAACGATAAAGAAGGGTAAGCCTAAAGCACCCAAGTCTTCTCAGTCTCAGTCATCAAAGTGAGTTCTTGTACCCTCACTGCCCTCTACTTGTGGAAAACTGACACAGTCTGTGTAAAAGCACCTCAGAGAAGTGACTAGGGACCTCAGCCCATTCGTGACCTCAAGTGTGCCCTCAGAGGTTCTTTAGGGGAAATCAGGTCTCCCATCAGAGGGTTTATTATTAAATGCCCACCTATCTCAAGTCTGTGTTCTCAGGATTCATCAGTGGCTTCACTCTGCCTTCAGGTGGTTTGTCAGTGACCTAACATCTGCCCTCAAGGATCTTCTCATTAACCTTGTGTCTGTCCTCAGGGGAACTATCAGTGACCAGAGTCTCCCATCAGGAGTTCCAGTAGCGATGTCTGTGTGTTCTCACTGCCAGTGACTCTTGTCTGCCCTGGGCATTCTCTCGATGATCCAATGAACCGTGTCTGCTCTGGGAGTTTTCTCACTGACCTGAATCTACTCTCAAAAATACTGTCATTGGTCTTGAACCTTCCCTCAGGGGTCTGTCAGTGACCTTAGTGCTTTGTCTTCTTGTGTCCTGTCTCAGGGCCTCTAGGTGGCCTTGATTGTTCTTACATCTGCCTTCAAGAGACTTCTTGATAACATCATATCTGCCATCAGAAAGACTTTGTTATTGTTATGTGCTGTTTAGTTGTCTGCGATTCATGGTGACCTTATGAATAATAGCTCTGAACCTTGACCTAGCTTAAACCAATCTCACTGTCTCTGACATACCTACCCCCATTGTCACAATCACTGTGTCAATCAGTCTCACCAAGGATCTTCTCTCCTGTGCTGACCCTACACCTTTTTGGGCATGATGTACTTCTCCAAGGACTGTTCCCTCCTGGCCACATGCCCAAAGTGTGAGATGGAGCTTCACAATCCTCCCACATTGAGAAGAGAGACTTTAGGTGCCTTTATTTTCTCAAAGAGGCTATTGATGACCCCATACCCTCCCGCAGATGGGTTATCAGTGGCCTAGCATCTGCCTCAGACGGCTTGGTGACCTCAGGTCTCCCCTTGGGTTCTTCCAGTGACCTTGGATCTCTCAGATGCTTTGTCAGTGACTTAGTATCTGTCCTTATGGATTCTGGTGCTAACCTTAATTCTTAAGGATTCTGTTGGTAACCTTAATTCTTCTTAGAGAGGCTATTGGTCCACTAGAGTCTGCCCTTGGGAGATCTGTCAGTGACCTCATGTCTGCCCTCGGGTTCTACTTGGGTTCTTGGATCAGTCCTTAGAGGGTTTGTCAGGACCCTTGGGTCCACCCTGCCCTGGACAGGGTTTTCTCCAGTCCATGGCAGTGCTGTTCAGAACATGACTGCCTTTTTTCTCCCATCTGAATAATCCAGGTATCCTTTACCTGACCTGCAGAATCCTGACCTCCTCAGTCACTGGGCGTCCTAGATAGCACCCACTCTGAGGGCTCCTGTACCCCAGGAAGCCAAGTCCCTGTGCTCCACTGATGTGGAACTCCCTTTGCCCTGCCCAGATACAAGACACTTTTCTTAACTTTTAATTCATTATGTGGTCCCTTAAAAGAGCTGTGGTGGCATAATGGTTAAGCGCTTGATCACTAACCAAAAGCTTGGTAGTTCAAACCTACTAGCTACTTTGTGGAAGAAGATTTGACAGTTTACTTATATGAAGGTTATTGTCTTGGACACTACAGGCTGTTCTGCTCTATTCCCTAGGGTTTCGGTGACTCAGAATCAACCTGCAGCGATGGCTTTAGTCCGTTTTTTTCCTCTTTTTTAAATGCTCACTCAGTTTTGTCTGAAAGCTGTGGAGTGCTCTGTAGGAAACATTAGCACACGTATCCCCATGTGCGCACACTCCTCATCTCATATATGGGGACTGTGAGTCCATTCATGGCGACTCTCCTTACAGTGAGGAAGGGTGTACCCGTTCCACTTTCAGATGCTCCTGTGGGAGATGCCATCCATTGCGAAGGTAGCTACATGTCGTTTCCTAGGCCTCGATGCTTCCTGATGTGGGGACATCCACAGAGATGGCAGGCAGTGTAGGCTTTCTCCAGGACAGGGTGCCACAGCATGCTTGCTGGTATAGACATCCAGAGGATGTTAACAGAGCCTGGGTCAGTATGACCAGGCTGGCTGAGCAGAGCTGACTCTGTACAGGGCACCACAGTGTGCTCATTGGTGCAAGGGCACCCACAGAGAGTGTACACATGTCCAGGTCAGTGTGTTCTCGAGAATGTCTGTGTAGAAAGCAAAAGAGATTTATTTCCAGAAAACAGTTAGTTGATTTTAGAGATTGGTAAGTCCCAGGTCTATAAATGAGTCCAAGTCATCAGCATTCACGAGTGTAGGCTTCTGGCTTTGAGACTGCTGACTTTAGAAGCAGGCACATGACTGATAGAGAGGCTGATGAGTCTAAAGTTGGCACGATGGCAGACTGTTGGTTCAAGTCTGGAGACTATGAGCCAGATAACGAGATGTTGGTGCCACAACTCCTTACCTCTAAGCCACCAGTGCCCTCAGTAACATCATAAAAGTTAGAATTTCCAGCACATAGGGTCATTACTTTATGCTGAGGAGCAGGGCCACACTGACAAACACAGTGACTACCACAGCAAAGTTTCCTCCAGATAGGGTGCCCTAAAGTGCTTGCTGATGCAGAGAACGTGTAGAATGTAGCAAGTGGCTGGGGCCGCCCTAGAATGGGGCACCCTGGCATGCTCAGGGGCCCACCTTGTCGTTTAGGACTGTGGATTCTCACATTTACGTTGAATGAACTTGACCTTCTAGGAAGCCCAATGGGAAGCATTCTACCCCAAGGCCTGGAAAGATGCCTGAAAGAGAGTCCTCAACCCAAGCCACACCCTACCTGGTCCAGGCCCTTGGTCTCAGAGCCAGAGGCCTGGATGCAGTCTGAGGAAGGTAGGCTTCCAGGCATCTGTTGGCTGGAGATTCAGGCTGTGCGATGAATGGGTGGGATGGAGATAATCTGGGGCCCAGGTGGTCAGGTGCCAGGTCAGGCCTGGGTCCTTGGGGCTGACCACTCCTACTCTGATGGCCCCCCTGCCTGTGCTCACTGTTCTCTCTGGGGGGACATTCTGACCTGCTCAAAGTCATCTTCCTGACCATTTGAACAGACTGTGTTTGACCACCAGGGCTTCAGATTCTCAGGGAGTTCCTGGTAACACCCACTCGGGCTGGGATCCTGGCCAGACCTGCTTGCACTCAGAGGCCCTGACCACCTTCTGGCTGACAGATGGCAGCAGCTCTGTGTTCTTGTTTCTCAGGGCCAGCCACCAAGCTCTCCCCGCTGCACTGCCTGGAGAACTTTCTGGAAGGGATGTTGCCCGTGCAGCCCCTGCGCTTTGCTTGCTTAGCCAGCCCTAGCTCCAGCCCCAGCCCCAGCAGCTCAGAAGAAGAAGAACAGAAGCTGGAGCCTAAGCCAGGAACCCCGAGTCTCCAGGGTGAGCACACCTGGGGTGTGAGAGTGGGATGTCCAAGACACAGAAGCCCTGAGTCTCCATGGTGAGCTCACACGATGTCACAGGACCCTGACTTTCAGAGTAGACTCACCCTGCTGCTTCCCCAGCCATAAGACAGCAACCTTGGGAAGACCCAGAGGACAGACCTCAGGGCTTCAGGGTCTTTTGGGGGTACAGTTTCCTCCATGCACTGGGGCTGGGTTAGAGTTAGAGCTTGTGTTGACCTCTGGCCATGCTGGAAGTCCCTGCTAGGGTTTCAGATCCCTTGTTACTTACACTGACTGCTCTAGACCTTTGTGCCTCAGTTTCCCCTGTGAGTGACCAGGGGCTGCGTGGGTTAAACACATGGGTGGTGGGGTGGCCTCTTGGAAGGCTTTCCCTCTCGGAAGCAGGACATCAGCAAGTGGGGAGATTGTTGCTCAGCCCAAGTGCTAGACTCCCAGCAGGGTTTGCACCACAGGAGAAGCAGGAGGGAGGCCGGAGGGTCACTGCTGGGGTGACCAGCATGAAGCTTCACCAAGGTGGGGTTAGTTGGGCAGGTAGGCCTCTATTCCCATGCCTCCGCCTCATGCAGACTGGTTACCCAAGACCTCTCTGTCCCAGGAGCTCAGCAGGGCCAGCAAGGCAGGTTCATAGGACCCAAGGAAAGCTCAAGAAAGCATCTGGTCAGGTGTCTACCTGCTGTCTCCACCCTGTTATCCAGGACAAGTGGAGGCTACAGTGTGTGTAGGAGCCCCTGAGCAGTCTCTATGCCCAGAAGCCTGCTCGTAGCACCCTGTCCATAGCACCCTGTCCAAGCACCCTGCCCATAGCACCCTGCCCATAGCACCCTG